CGGTAATAAAATTAATACCGTATTTTTAATTTCGCCGAGTGTATAGCTTGCATAAACATAATTCGCATAATTGTCAAAACAGTGGCTCTTCGACTGAGCTGGTACGGCACGCAACAAAAAAAAAACAGGAAAAAAGAAGGTTTTGGTTAGTTGAAACAAAATCAATACTCCAGCTTTATAGAAAAAGTTAGGTTTCTTAGATAATACAAACAAGCGTTTTTTATGTAATAGTCTCACCAATAAGAGAAAAACATATTCAGACAGGAAAAAGATTTTACGTTAACACTGATTAAATATTGTACCAGTCATTCGTCCATCAGCTGATCCCAATTTCTGTATTTTATTGATCACGTTCTCAAAGACGAGTTCTGACTATGATAACAGACGGTATAAATTTAGTTAGCACCATGCGGCGGATAAGCGTTTGTTTTTACTTCAATGTTCAATTCAATGTTTCAATATTTAATTTAAAGTTTACATATTAAGGTACATTATCGATCTGAATACAAATATAAATATTAAATAATCGAGTATTTATCTGCTGCTGGCTGTAACAAGAAAACGTCGTCACCAAAAATTATCATCGTACCTATACAATAACCCGAATTATTATGAAAAATGACGGAACAATGCGGCATAATGCTGTAAAACAGTGGATAAATACTCGCTTGTTAAATTTAGAAATAGTGCAATACAATACACACTGCTGTATTTTAGTAGATTACGTTATAAATTATTACAATAAAAAATATAAATATAATGCTGTTGATAATACTAATATTACTTACTCAGTCAATCCCTTTATTTTTTCATGCAATACTCGCTCTTTCTTACACTCATTGATTGGTACATACGCAAATTTATCGACCGGCGCCAAGGTATCGATACTCGTGCTTGACAAATATATATAACTAACTTTTATAGTTAGATGCTTTTCTTCGAGTAGTTATACACAAAGTGAAGTGCTTGGCAATTTACTAAACTTGAACTGTAGCGGGAGTGTAAAACACTCTCTCGGCGAAGAAAATAATGATGCAAAACCCTCGACATTATTCGACGTTGCTGGAAATTTTCACTTAATGCTTTGCATACGGCTGTAAAACCAAGGAACTATGCCCTATAAATATACATATTCTGTAAAGTTAGGAAAAAGTGTTCTGCGGTCTGAGAATTGTTTCGTGTCACAAGATGTATTGTGATGACATCATCAGAATGGCGTAATTGTGTAACCCCAAAACCAGGATGAATAACTCCGAAGTATCTCCGAAGTATCTCCGAAGTGTCTCCGAAAGTCGTTTAACGATGTCGTTAGTTTTAGAGACTGGTACACCAATTGACAGCTTGATTCAATCCTCTTTGGAAAATGAAGACAAAGCCTTAAGGCTGCAATGGATTCCTTGCTCAGATATTACCGACATAGAGCCAACTCAAATCGACAACGTCTACTACGCTATTAGCCAAAGATTGTTAATGACGGCCGATGCGAGGATAACATTGGTGTTGCTTGGAAGCAATGAAGAATGTATACCATCGTTTGTGAATGAATTTGCTAGGATATATTCACTTCCAACGCACGAGCACAGCAATAATGTCAGTCACTTTAGACGATATTCCAGATGGCTTAGTAAACGCAACAGAGAAATATTTGGATTTACCAAGTACAATAACAACTATTACATGGTTGCTCATAAATACTTTTACCATAATTATTCTCGATATGGATTCTGCTCCGAATGTGGATTACTCCGATGTAGTCCAGTGTGGTGCATCTGTGGGCATAAACAACTATTCGATGGATGGACTAGCGGCAATAAGCAAATCGATGAGCTTATAAAAAAGACGCAGTCACAAACAAACTCTGCGAATGACGCCTATCTGGAATGGATTCCGTTCGATTCTATTCATCTTTCGAGTGATGCACCCTTATATGGTCTACCTACCGATTTTTATGTTGAATTCACTCCACTTGATATTGAGATAACAGACAAGATGCATGATTTATATTATGTCGGGGTAACTATACTTATTCGTTCAGTTTATTGAATAGTTTAAATAATTACTGACTTATTATTATGTGCCATTTCAATAGTCATGTGATGATATTCTTGCCACGGATGTTTGGGTTACCATCGGATTTACATACGATACAATGAGTAGACAGTATAATCTAATAAAAGAACGATGCGGATATGGATTATGTCTGGCGTGTACACGTTCGTTAATGTCCACGACAAACGCATTCTGTTTTGAATGTAAAGCACCACGACCCCTTAATTGGACTACGGGTAACAAGACGTTGGATTCATTCATTATGGAATCGTGGAGTAATACAGAAAACCAAAGGGATGCGTATATACAATGGATCGAGTATTCCACATTGATGAACGTACGAGAAATGACCTCATTAAGCCATGGATGCACACGCATAACGGATTGGTTAGATCCAGCGATAAATAAATTGATAAAAGTGACACTCAGGCAGATCAGTGATGCCCAGTCGCATAATTTTCATCAGGTAAATTATTTCAAGTGTAAAAATAATGCAATTGGTATTAAGCATAGATTGTTTATTGATTTTATTGTTTACCCAAATAGCTAACTCTGGAATACCCAAAGATTTTAACACCTGATAATGTTTGGGTAGTTGGAATTACTCAAGAACCGTCCACTCGGAGATATTATTTAGTTTTCTATTATGATACTCGTACTATATTGGACAAGATTATACAACTTTACAGATGGATTAATATGGAGTACAGCGACTTTTACGATCTCAAAGAGATCGGGTCTGGTGGCTACAGAACAGTTTATACGGCCAAATATAAAAGGTATTTTGAACCAGAGACTGTTGTGTTAAAACAGTATAATGATAAGAATTTTGATCGGTCGTTGGAATTATTTGTTTCAGAGGTAAGCAACAATTAAAATGGTATTAAATTAAAGTGATATTTAATTTAACGCTGTATTATTTTCATTTGACAGCTCCGAAATCATACAATATTCTCATATATGATTAGTTATTCATTCCTTAAGATATACGGAGTCACACAAGTTCCAGAAACAAAAGACTACATAATTGTTATGCAATATGCTAACGGCGATAGTCTTTTGTCTTATTTGGATCAAAATATTAACAAATTGTCGTGGTTGGACAAATTACAGCTTTTGAAGGATATTGCAAATCATCTAGGTGATATTCATTATTCAGGATTAGTGCACTGTAATCTTCATGGTGGAAACATTATTGTGAATGGCAATGCGGGTCGTACAGAATCACTTATATGCGATCTTGGTCATTCGCGCACAGTGAAGTCACACAAATCAAGTCCAACCATTCAAGGCGCTTTACAATTTATTGCACCAGAAGTCTTCCATACTCGAAAATTTACTCAGAAATCAGACGTATATTCTTTTGGCATCATTATGCATTTGATTGCTACTGGCGAACAACCCTTTAGAGATAGGCAATTCGACAAAGATTTAATATGCGATATTATGAGCGGACTACGGCCATCGATGCCTGACTCTGCACCGGAGGATTACAAAAAACTTGCCGAGCTGTGTTGTGATGTTGATCCTGATAAGCGTCCTGATGCACGTACACTTTGCAATTATATTAACAGTCTTATCCACTCGGCTCTGCCCGCCGCCGCAATCCCCCCATTTTGGCGGCCCGCCGCAGTTCCTTGGCGGATTTCAGATGGACGAGGATAGTTCTAATGACAACGCATGATGCATACCATCTATGTATCATGATGATATAAACCCTTATCACGTTTCGAAAAGGAGAGTAAATACAGATAAAACCCTCTAAGTGCACGCCGTTGGGACCAGACCGTCATGTGCATTTAGAGGGGGTGTGCATTTAGAGGAAATAGTAATTCGTGTAACACCATTAGTTGTAATAGGACGATATTAATATATTTATTATTTATTAAAATATTGATTTATGGTTGTTTGTCTCATTTGATTATTTCTCCTACCATTAACAAATCTTTCAAGACTGTTTAATAGTCTTATCTGCTCATTTGTGTCTTCTTGTTGTAACAAAAACAATCGTACATTTTCTAAGCTTTTTAATGCACTACTAGCACTTACAATGGGAATTTCAGTGCTAATTGACATAAACAACGATTATAGCTATCCGTTGTTCCCAATTCATTTCCTTAGATGCATGCACTAATTAACATAAACAACGATTATAACGACTATCTGTTGTTCCCAATTCATATCCTTAGACGCATGCATTAATACGGACCAATTGACATTAACAACGATTATAACGACTATCCGTTGTTCCTTAGTGGCCATCATTTATTCATGCGACACAAAATACAAACCTATTTATAAAGAGAATATTTATAATCTGATTGGTCAATACAAATATTAATCACGTGCGTGCATTTAGAAACAATAGTTTATATAGACGGGACTGAAAAATTACTGCACGTGCAGGATAGAGAGGGTGTGCATTTATTACTAAGTCCCAAGCTCGGGGCCATGTCAAACCGTGCATTTAGAGAGGGTGTGCATTTAGAGGGTGTGCACTTAGAGGGTTTTATCTGTACGTGGTATAATGTGTATAGTTATATTAATACTACGTAAATGTACATTCAGTAGCGACTGCAATGATCTGATAATTTACAGTTATGATAAACTAAATTCAATCATGGCATGTGCAGTTTGAAAGTAAGTGAATGAAATATTCAATAATACGTTTTAGTCATGACATATACCATTCGTATATAAATCATGCGATAGCCAGACAACTTTATTGCAAAACTGATTGCGTATTACATAATTACAAAAAATTAGTGAATAGAGTCGAAATTACGAGATGGCTACAATTCGAGTACATAATACTTTTCTATTTTTTAGCAAATTCCCCACTCCCCACCAGGAAAATCAATATCGCCGAAAAAAAAAATCTGATCAGTGTCTATTCTTTTTTACCGATTTACACATGACACATATATGCGCTATGATTCCTTGATAATCCATTACTTCAAAACTTCTCCCTTGAGAACGTCTTCAAAATTACTCCAAAGCCACTGTAATGATTCGTGAGCTGTTGGCCTCTCCAGATAATTTTTTGCCATCATCTTCTTTGCGTAATCGATTAATGGTTCGTGTTTCACAGACGTTGTCATAATAAGATACCCAACCGACCAGATATCCACGCTCGTATCATGAACGCCAGTAAAAATCTCTGGTGCATGGCTCTCGTAAGCCAATGCGTTGTGAGGAATAGACGAAGGTGAAGAACACGCATCATCGAAGTCAATAATAAACCATCTGTCCTTCTCAATATTCTTCAGCACATTCTCCCAGCGAATGTCACGATGCATGATCTTCAAGCTGTGAAGAGACTGTAATAATTATTAGTAGAAAGCACTATGGTTTACAAGATGACAGGCAGTAAGCGAGATGAACGGACAACGTGTACCTTAAGGGCAGTTAATACACAATACAATGCTATGATTAGTTTTTCTAATGATTGTGGTTTATGCACCATACCCTTTGGAGAAAGGATCACGAATGGGGTTTTCCCCTCCTCAGTGTTTATGTGCACCAATCGATCAATGAAAGGAACTTGGTTCTTAGCCATTATATCATAATAGGCCTTGAGATTATTAACAAATGCCACCTCAGGGTAGCGTTTGACAACTACTGCTTGCATAAACTCGACCACCTTGCCACCTGATCGGTGAAGTATGGTAAACTCCCACTGGAAATACCCTGGGAGGGTTTGACGAAGTAGAGGCAATAGTCGCCAATGTTCCTTCCGATAGCGAAAGCTTGGAGGCGTCCTTCCAATTCATTTAGGTTAACTGTGATCAGATCCTTATGCTTAATCTCTTCACCTTCAGTGTACAAATAACAGTATGTCACTGTGGCACATTTTGCATGATACCCGAATATATATGGACAATTTCCATACGTCCATGTCAATTTTGAAACTAGTTCTTCCCCTGGATCGTCATCATTATCGGGACCCTTTTCCTCTCCTCTCGCAAGGCAGGCATCCAATACCAAGTATGAAAGGTCGGGTCTATATCGTCTTGTGGAAGTATGAAGAGATGTGTTTCGATTGTAGACTCCTTGTGGATATCCAATCCTAAAAGGGTTGACAATGAGTGCATCCCAAAATGCGTGAAATGAATCCTCCGTTGTGCCTATAACGGGTGGCTTGGCAATAGGTTGTATACATTCAGCCCATGTTCGGAAAGACGCCTTGTCTGAAGTCACAAAGAATTGAATCAAAATATTTGGAGAAATCCTCGACCGAAAGTAAGCGTTATACATAGCTGGAGGAATGTTGACTGGTGTGGAAGGCGGTTTTTGAAGCCAAAGTAATAGATCCCAGCGGGATGGAATATACTCTGGTGGTGTTTGGAGCATATCAATGGTCGAGAAATATAGGGCATCTATGTTGGGAACGAAGTCGATTAGATAGACTCAAAATCGAATCTTTAGACGCAATTTCAAACCTACCATCTTCATCTTCATCTCTAAGTTCCTGTGCTGTAGTTATAAAGAGGAAGGAGTAGGAAATATTAAAGCGAGAATAAGAGATAACATGGCATCATAGCGAGGCACAAGTTAATAAACGAAATTACTGCGGAGAAAGCAGTGTAGGTGTTGGTTGTAAGTGAACTCAGTCATAATGCTTACCTTCTCCTTCGCTCTTTATTCCTTTGATTAGGTCTACAATAGTTTCCGCTGGTCCTCCTGACATTCCCCATCTTTCAAGCTTTTCCGCAGTCAGGTTGAGGAACGCGCGACCAGCGACCCAGTTATCTTCAAATACTTTAATATCTTGGTCTCTGAGAAACAACTCATCCTTCTTAGTCTCCAGAAAAGTAATGACGTTCTTAGGGCTCCATTTACTGACTTCTTCAACCGAAGGGACTGATAGAAAGGACATGTTAAAATTATGGTACAGAGAACCGCACAATCTCCTATAATAATAAATCCTATTTATGCCATCTCAGAACGTGATTGGGTGGTGATCTTAACAGTGGCGTAATTACGTAATGAGGATACGGTGCAGATGTTGATTATTCAGAGTAGTCGTAATAGTCGCAGTAATATGTCCCAAACGCCCCGAGTCGTTACCTGTATAAAGGCCGAGAAGTCTTTTAACTTGACAAAATTTTCTTCATGTTCATAGAATAAACCATCGTTTAACAATTTATATTGGTCGTATTCAGGAGCCTTTATTTTGAGAATAATCGTGCTCGCTCTAGCAATAAAGAATATTTTTTCATGTATATTTGTATCAGGAAATAAAAGTTCATCGATATTTTTTCCTGATAATGATATGATTGGGTGTCAAGTCTCGTCGCATGCCGGAAAATTAAATCATATGCACGATATATCACATATAGATTACACATGTCGAAATAACGATAGATACGCATATCCAAAATAGACGTACCAACTTCTATATGCCGATTCATGCTCCCTTGAGGCTCATTATAACGTGACATGATTTAATTTTGTGATCACGATCTGGACTAACTGATTTTTATGTAATACGTTTCTAATCGAAGCATGTGTTTGAATGCGGAGTCGCCAACCGAAAAAATATATATGGCATATGGGTAGGTCGGCTTTCTTCTCCCTACATTAAATAAATATCTATTTATACTTTTTCTAATATACGTAGGCTCAAAGAGCCATTGCTCCGCAATAGAAGAGATATTTTATATATTCGAATGTATCTTCTCCAAAATTATACGAGTCTAATGGGTTTCCATAATTATCTTCTTCAATATTGGTCAATATCGCATTTCTAATTCTTTTACTGAAAACCATATTTTTATTTAATAAATACCTTTCTACTTTTACGAGCTTATCAAATGTTATTAATGCATTATTATATATAGGCTCAATTTCATTATCATTTATATCCGATTTTCTATGGCATCTGTCTAGTTTCTCCAATAAATCATAGTATTTTGTATTAAAGTTTTTACGCCTCTTATAAAGTTCATGACAAACTTCTTTATACCATGTGCGGTTAATTTGAATGCAGTTATCTAGATCCTCTAATGAAAGTTTTGAGACGATTTCAGCAATAGTATTTGGAAGTGTAAGTGGGTTATATCTATGCATGTTGTGTATCCTCAAACGTGTGGATTTTATTAACCAAGATGTTTTATTTAATTGTTATATTTATTTACTATTGATCATAAAAAATAGATATATTTATACAATAAGTAGAACGATTTAGTTGGGTGTTTATTCTTCCGGAATTTTCGTCAAAAGAAAGATAAAACTCGTGAAAAGGTTTCGGTTGAAGAATTATTGATTGAAACATTGGTTCAGGAATTGAGATTAACAAGTTCCGTCGGGACGCCTGAGATTCCATCCGATTTTCAAGAATTTTTGTCATACCTATAAATTTTTGAATTGGATATTTATTATTATTAAGAAGAAAAAAAATATTATAGGAATATTATCTTTATATTGGTTCACTGAGTGGGCTAGACTCGATGATTCCGATTGCATTCAAGACAGACAAGACGTACGTTTCCTTCAATGTGACCTAATTTATTATCAATTCGATCTACCGTCCATTGATCGGGGATTTCCAGCTTCATCCCATTCCCACAACATTTCATTGAGACATAATACGCATTTATTTTTTTGCGAATCTTTTA